GATTTCCCAGAGGATCAGAAGATGGCGGCGCCTGGCAGCAGCGGCGACGCGGCGTGGGTCGAAGACGAGGAAGACGGCGTCCATGGAGGAGTGAAGGAAGCGTTCCGGTCCAAACCCCGGTTCTCCTACACGGAGGTGAAGCTGCTGCTGGATGAGGTGAAGAAGAACAGACACATCCTCCTCAGTGAGTCCTCTGTCTCGCTGTCTCCATGGCAACCGCATCAGAACCTGTGCAGTGATGGTGTTAGCAACGTTTCTGTCTCATCCTGAATATTTTAGCTTCCTGAGTCATTCAGTCATTCATTTAGTAAAAAAAAAAGATTCATAACAAAAACAACATTTTTGGATGAATCCCTGAAAAATCCCCCAGATGGGATGAAGCCAGTGGAAGAACGGAGCGTCGGAGCTGCATGTGGAGCAGCAGGGCCACCGTACCGCTCAAAGGCCTGATGGACTAAACATGACGCTTTTCCTCTCGAACCTTAGTAGGATTTTATGACATAAATAAACATGAAGCAGAAGGAAAATAAAACATTTGATCATTTTCTACAAATAAAGATCTGCTTCTGAGTCTGAGCTTCTGCTGCAAAACCTTTAGCCCCAAATTATTCACACCCTGAATTTAAATGACTTTCATTCAAAGCTAGTTTCTGTCAGAAATAATAAATGGATTTTTCTCAAGTTCATAAAAGTATTTATGAGTAGTTTTAGTCGGTTCCTCCGGTATTTAGCAACCATTTCTGTGATTTTCTTATGGAATTCAAATCAGTGACTTTGTGGAGCTGCTTTAGAAATATTTCTGGTATTTTTGAGATTCCCTGTGGAGAGCAGATTTGATCGATCAGAACGTCATGAGAGAAATACCGCCACCTGCAGGTGGGAGTGAGCATCACTTCAGCACAATGTTTTGGTCATTTTTCCAATAAAGTCACAGTTATTGTTGATTTTTATGTAAACTGGAGGGAGAGTTTAGGCTGATCTGGAGCTCCGCCCACTGACCCGACATGGCGGCACATCGAAACGCAGCCAGAATCTGCTGGGGGTATGAATATTTCTGGGCCTGGCTGGGACTGAAACAGTCAGACTGGAGCGAGAGCTTTAGCTCTGGGCTTTGACTAGGTCATTTTAGCCCATTGGATCAAGGCTTTATTTGTGCAGGTCATCATCCTCATCCTGAGTGTTTTTCCTCCAGAGAAGTTTAACCGCGGCGTGTCGGTGGACGCCAAGAAGCAGAAGTGGACCGAGATCACGGATCGGATCAACGGGCTGGGAGAGAACCACCGAGAGGTCCGTCCCTCTGTCCCTCCGTCCCCCTCTGTCCATCTCCGTCCCCCTCCCTCTCCCTCCCTCCTCTGGCCAATCACAGCCTTCGTCTCATCGTCCCTCTTCGTCCGTCTCAGACGCGGCAGATCATGAAGAAGTGGGCGGACCTGAAGTGCGACGGGAAGCGGCGGCTGCTGGCCCTGCGGGGCCCCAACGGCTCCAACCTGAGGAAGAAGCGTCTGGGCCCGGTGGAGCGGATGGTGCACCGCATCCTGATGATGAGTCCCTCTAGAGGTCAGCAGCTGTATTCCTGTTTCCATGTCTCCTTCTGCTTCCCCTCTGTCCTCCAGATCTTCAGCCCGAGTAGATCTGGTCTCAGCTTAGATTTGTGTCGGATCGTTTTTGGCGACCTCCCGTCCCGTCTGTGGTTTGTCCGCTCTGGGCTGCCGTAGAACCAACATGGCCGTGCGTGCTGGCCTGGTCTTTTACCGGCTGCTGTCGTGTTCGGGTCCCCAGATGGCGGCAGCGACCAGGACTGGAGTCCCGCCGAGGATTTTCCCAAGTCGCTCCAGACCGGTCCGCTGATGCAGCCGCCGGCGCCGTATTCCTACCTGAACCTGAACGAGAACTCCGGTTCCCACGGCGACGGCCTGTCCTTCGACATGTCGCCTCTGTCCTCACCAGAGAACGAACCCGGTGAGCAAATTAAAACCATACGCTTTAAAAATGGCGGTAAAAATAGGCAGAGATCAATTTCTGCAACATTTGTGCCTTTAATGATCCAATCGATTTATTTTACCATAAACACATCCCAATAACTACAACAATCATCATACCTGATGCACATGGGGCGGGGCCACACACAGTGGGAACGGCCCTGCAGGTAAAGGAGTAAGCAGCTCAAGTCCAGCATGTGTGGGGTCTGCAGAGCTGCTCGCTGGCTCCCTGACCTTTGACCTGTTCAGCTCCTGGATGGAGACGCATCCTCCGCTGACCTGATGTTGTTGATGTTTCACAGACGAGCTGATCCACTCCTCCTCCGAGTTCGACCAGGCTGATGATGAAGGTAAGATGGCGATGATGAAGGATTCAGTCCGACATCGATTCATTAACGCTTTAAATCGATCCTCTTACCCATAATGCCTCACCAGTAGTGTAACAACAAGGTGAAGGCAGCAGCGGTTAGCAGGATTTGCTACACGGAGGAGGAATATTGTGGAAACAGCAAACTTCTCATCTCACTGGTTTTTAAAAATCTCTGCTTATCGTTGGAACGTAAGGATGGGCCGAGTCCAGACCAGCTGTTCATTTATTCATTTATGTTTGTGTCTCTTAGTTGCGCTAATATCAGCGCATGACTGAAGCCCAGAGACATATTCCATGATAAACTACATCAAACTACTCTAAGCTACGCTAAATTACGTTTAACATACATTAAGCTTCGTGAAACTCCCAGCGGTGACCAAGGCGAGTTTGGAAGCTGTGCGTTTGGCCGGTGTGTATTTTTTCCTGAAACATTTTCCAGCGTGTCCTGTTGGGTCTGTTCACGTTTTCCTGGTTTTTTTTCAGAGCTCGTTAGCGCTAACGAGCCTGGCGACAGTGTAGCGTAATCGGCTGCGGGTGATCACCATCGCTCATGTAACTTTAGCTTTAAAATCCTTTGCTTTGGCTCCATCCTGTGGTTAAAGCCAATAAGACACTTTACATTTCTTGGAAACTAAAAGCTTTTGGACTTTTTGTGTTCTAAACCAGCAAATGCGTCTGTTCATGATTTTGTTGTTCTGCCACTAAATTGTTTCCTGCGTAAAGATAAATAATCCTGTGGAACGATGGGTGTCAGACGGGATGTTGCTCATCGCCAGCCTGACTGCAGGCCTGAATGTTTCGCAGCAGACGAGCCTCAGGTTGAATCCTGAATCAGAGCGGATTTGAATTTCCTTAAATGTTTGCTCTTCAGCTTTGGTTCCACAAAAAGTTCATGATTAACATTTTACTGTTGGTGTCGGCAGCGTTCGCTCCTCTGGGAAAGTTTCTGCATCCGAGGACAACGGATCGGAAAATCAGACGGATTTTATCCAGCACTGGTCCGGACCTCAGGCCCGCCTGCCGGTTCTGAAGGTTCTGGACCTCAGGCCCGCCTGCCGGTTCTGAAGGTTCTGATCCTCAGTGCCCCCCTCTTTCCTCCAGGTCCGTCCTCCCAGGACGTCAGGCAGAGGATCCGACCCGTCTTCACGTACTCCAGGACCCAGCAGAACCAGAACCAGAAGTCCTGCAACGTCCCTCCGGGGGGCGCCGCTCCCCCCTCCTCCTCCTCTTCATCGGCGGCGGCCGGTGGCCCGCCGCCCGCCCCATCGCCCCCGTCCCGGCCGTCCCTGACCCGGCTGTCCTCTCAGAGCCTCCAGCAGCAGCGCGCGGGCCGCCTGCTGCTGGGCTCGGTGTCGCGCTCCCTGGAGGTTCTGACCCGGTCCGTCCAGCTGCTGGTGGAGAGCCAGCAGGAGTTCGTCCAGGAGTCGCTGCAGCTGCAGCGGGACGCCGTGGACGTCCTCAGGGACTTCTCAGAGACTGCGCTGCGAATGCTGAGGCACAAAACAAGCAGCGGACCGCCCGGACCGAACCAGAACCCGCAGCAGAACCACCAGCAGAACCCCCCTACTGGGTCCCAGCAGCAACATCCAGCCTCACGGTTCTAACCCTCCTACAGACCCATCCGACCAGAACCAGAACGCGGGACACGCTGACCTGCTGCAGGGCCGGAACCAGGTTCTGACCCAGTCGGTGCCACTGGTTCTGATCTGGTCGGTTCTGGCTCTTTATTTATTGACCATATGAGGGCAGACATCCTGCTCACATTGTCCTCATGTTGGCAGCAGGACAAACGGAGAAAAACTCCTAATTATTTTTATTTTTCAATCAACTCACTTTATTTTGGTAAGTTGACGACATTAAACACAAAAACAAACAATAAACAAACCCTCAATTTACCAAGAAAGGGACCGACTGAAGCCAAAGCTTATACTCGCCTACCCCGACTCAGATGTCTTTTACTCTCATTTCCTACAGAAAAAGACTAAAAATATGATTGAAAATAAAATATTCATAATTTAAACAAAACCTTGAAACCTTGACTGCACTTTATAAATGCAAACTTTGGTTCATTTAGCCTGTTATAAGAGAAAAATGGCAGTAAAATGTTCAACAATTAATTCATTAATAAATGTCACAGATTGTAACTAAATATTTCATTGGCCAACTACATAGTTAGCTTGCTTACCAAATATTTAGCTCTAAGCTAGCTAAATATTTAGTTATCAAGCTATTTAATTCCAAACTAACTATTTAGCTCTGAGCTAATATGCAAATTCACTTGCCAATAAGTGGAAGTGGACTATCAAAATAAAAGCTGGGTCTGGCGAACGTCTCTATAAACTCCTGCTGGTCAGACTGATGCATTTCTGCTGCTGTAGATCTATGACGAAACATTTGGATGGCCTTTAAAACTTTCCTGTAGGAATGTGAAAAAGTATGAATAATGAATGAAAGATGAGGTTCTGCAGAATCCGTCCTCCAAGATGGCTACTCTCTCCCAGGGTTCATCAGGAGAGGACAGGGGACATGGGCTCCACGCAGTGCGGATCTCAGCCCCACTGAACACCTGCTGCTAATCTGATGATCACCTGAGGGAGCGGGGCCAGGAGGATCTGAAACAGGTTCTGCAGCCTCTGATTGGTAAGTGATAAAAACATCCTTCTTCAGGAAATACAGTAATCCAGTCCAATGGACAGAGTAACAGCTGAGACACTGCTCCACTTAAATGCGCATTTTTGATCCAATTTATCACACTTTACAGGAAAGGGCAAATATACAGCACAAAACTATGCAGAGTAAATGCCAGTTATATTGGCACATGAATTTATTGGAATTGGTTTAAAATTTCATTAAAGAGGGCAAATTTATAGTTGGTAATTTAAAATTCTCTGTTTTTTGTTTTACTACCTACTACAAATTATTGAGGAGAATAGTCAGTTTCAAACGGAGATAAAATCTATTTGCACGTCAAGTATAAACTATAAACGCCTTTGAAATCATCAAATGTCCCAGAATTGCTTTCATGACCCTCCCAATATGGCGGACATGTTAGCGTCTCGCTGATGCCCTGTGTGGGCGGGACTTCCTGGTGTTCTATTCCGTGATTGGCGGGTCCAGCCTCTGACCCCAGTGCGCAGACTCGTGCTTCTCTCCGGTACAATGGCGGCAGTTGGAGCGCCGTCCTCCGTGTTTTCTCGGGTTTTTGTCCACGGAGCAGCGGCGGGAGAGTTAATAAAGCTGTAAGACAGAAACGACAGCAGTTGGTGAACTCTGGAAAGAAGAGAAACGGTTTGAGGCTCAGCTGGAACTGCTCAGTAACTGTTAAAGGAAAGTTTGGAGAGAGAAAAGCTAGCAGAGATGTGGAGACAGCAGGTCAAACAGCGACTGGATGCAGCAGAGGAGCAGAGACACGAAATACTGGATGCTGCTTTCAGCCCCGAACATCGGCTGCACACATCAGGTTTGGAGATTTACCTTCTTCATCGGGGATGGGAGCTGCAGGCCGGGAGCAGCTTCCAGGAGCTGCTGGGTTCTCCAGAACAGGCGAAGCTGTTGGTCCTTGATACTCTTTGGATGCAGAACTAGGAGTTTATCCAATATGGCCGCCGCACATTTACAATGAAGCTAAAGTTTATTTTCACTCTGACAGTTTGTGCTGCATTAAGATCCGTCAGACAACATGTTTGTTTAAAGTTTGACGACATGAAAGGCTGAGAAAATGATAATTAGCTTCCACTGATCAACAAGCCATCTTCTATCAGGAGCTGAAGCTACTCAGTGACAGATTATTATATGCTGAACAGACACGTTGTGTGTTTTCACTAGTAGGTTAGGTTTCATTCACTGTTTAAATGACTAAATGAGTCCAGGTTTAACCAGCAGATCCGTCAATCACTGAGAAACACCAATAAACATTCAAAAATAAGCTATTATTAAAGGTGAAAATTATAACAGGTAATAAAGTAATTATTACAAAGGATTAAAAGAAAAAAATTGCATTTGCTTCACTATGAAATGTAGTTACTGCCAACTTTTTTACAGATAAATTAAAAAAAAATTAGAAGATTAATCTGCACATCCACAATAAATCCAGTACCAATGTACCCAAACATGACAAATGCAGAGAAAATGACTCATTTTCAACACTTAATTATAAAAGCTTGGAAGAAACGATGAACCCATGCAGCTCCTCTTCCTGCTGTCTGGACATCGACCCACACCTCTCCTTCAGACCGTCCAGCCTTCATCCATCGGATCTGAATAATAAACTCGTGGCTCTCATCAGGTGAACCAGCAGATATCAAACCTCTGATAAAAACAAATCCCTGCTGCTGACCTCTGACCTCCCCTTCATCAGCATCGTTACTGGAAAATCTGTTTCAGCAGGTAAGCAGCCGCTTTCAGTCTGGTTTCCATGGTTACCAGAGCACCGAGACCGGCCTAGTCAAAGTGTTCAACGACATCCATATAAACACAGACGGTGGAAGAACCACAGAGCTGGTTCTGGTTCTGTTGGACCTCAGCATCTGAAAATAAATGAAGAACTTTAGTACTTTTAGTTAAGAGCTGTTGAACAACTGAACAGTTTGAGAAGTTATACTTCTAAAAGTCCTTTGTGAACCGAGGCTTCAGCCCGGAGACCTGCCGGGTCGTGGCGCTCAGCTCATGGCGCCCGCCTGGGGAACATAAGCCACGCCCCCGATGCTTACTTTTCAAAATAAAGCTCATGTCACAGGAGGTGTCCAGGCTGTGGCCATAGCGTTTCCCTGACTGGCTCGACCGCTGCAGCTTCATCCGCCGTTTTCTCAGCTTCACCGTCTCGTTCACTTCTTGCTGCAGATTGGCTGGTCACATGACCAGCGCAGCGTCTTAAAGAGACATGAGCGTAGCCTGCCTATGCACAGCCAAAAGAGACAAAAACTACTTTTCTTTTTTTAAACACATGAAAAATACAGACTGGGGCTAAATAACGTCGGTCAAAGTCATGAATCTTGGTGTTGGTTAAGTTTTGGTTTATTATCCTGGCTTATGTTTAATTTTTAGAATCTCAGAAAAATACAGCAGAAGGTGACAATTTAATCACTAGCCCTTCTCAGATTTCTGTCTCTTAGTGTTAGACACTGCAGCCTCCTTAAAGAAGAGGATGAAGTCATAATCTTTAGGAGTTTCACTGACTGTTTAACTCTGTGCTGCGCACTTTAAAGCAGATTAGGACATTTGAGAAAAAGGCGCCTGCATATCTACATGTCAATATCTACCTGCTTATCTCAGAAGCTCCAGTTGACTGTTTGCTTATTGTTCCTGAAAGTTAAAAATGCTTTATTTGTAATAATTATAATTTCAATAATATGTTTCAGTGTCTTTATAATGTTAACAGGTTTCATTGTTCATTATGTACATAAAGTGTTTCTGTGTTCCCTGCAGATGTTCATCAGGTTCTGCTGGTTAAAGAAGAACCGAGTCCTGATCTGGACCAGAACCACCCAGAGCCTGTCCACATGAAGGAGGAAGAGGAGGAACCCTGGAGCAGCCAGCAGGGGGAGCCACTCAGTGTGAAGGAGGAGGCTGATGCCTCCAGGTCTCCAGTCATTGCTGTTCTCATAAAGAGTGAAGATGATGAAGAGGAACCTCTGATCTCTCATCTTCATCAAACAGAAGATGGAGAACTGCCAAGCAGCAGCTCAGCTCAGCAGATGAAAACAGAAGAGGGCTACAGAGGAGCAGAATGCACCATAAATCTGGATGGAAACCCTCATGGAGACGCTTCCAGCTCTTCAGAGACAGAGATCAGTGATGATGACGATGAGGTGAACCATCCTGGGACAGAAGATGAAGGCAATGAGAATGACTGCAAAGGCCTCAGAGAGAATACAAACATGGACCAGGAGAGGGAAGTCCAGACAGATCTGAGATGTTTTAAATGTACTGAGTGTGGTCAAAGTTTTACCAAGAAAAAACATCTCAAAGTTCATCTGAAAGTTCATACTTTGGAGAAACCGTTTGGCTGTGAGGTTTGTGGACAAAGATTTGATGAAAAGTCCTATTTAGACCAACACATCATAATCCACTCAGTGGAAAAAACGTTTGATTGTAACATCTGCAGACAAACATTCAACCAAAAAACACATTTAAGCAGACATATGAAAATCCACAGCGGGGAGAAACCGTTTGGCTGTGATGTTTGTGGACAAAGTTTTAACAGGAAATCCCATTTAAACAGACACCTGAAAATTCACACAGGGGAGAAACCTTTTGGGTGTGACATTTGTGGACAAAGATTTCATGAAAAGGCCTATTTAGACAGACACATCAAAATCCACTCAGGAGAAAAACCATTTGCTTGTGATGTCTGCGGACAAAGATTTAGTAGAAAGGCACATTTAGACCGACACATGGGCAGCCACGCTGATGAGAAACCTTTTGGTTGTGACGTTTGTAGACAAAGATTTACCCACAAATCTGCTTTAAACAGACACATGATTATTCACACAGGAGACAAACCTTTTAGCTGTGAAGTTTGTGGACAAAGATTTAACCAAAAGTCAGTTTTAATGACGCATGTAAGGATCCACACAGGAGACAAACCCTACGCCTGTGATTTTTGTGGACTAAGATTTAACCAAAAATCAAATTTAAACAGCCACATCAAAATCCACACAGGATACAGACCGTTCAGTTGTGATGTTTGTGGACAAAAATTTAACCGAAAAGGAAATCTAAACATGCACATGAGAACCCACACAGCAGGGAAGAATCTTTAGATACTGTGATGATTGATGAAGAAACGCGGGCATGTTCTGACTTAGATCACTGCAAATTAAATGGGTCTTTACTCCAGAACCTTTTTAGCTTCTTTTTTTCATAAAAAATTTATTTGGTTTCAGAAACATTTAATCATGAGTAGAACAGACAATAATCAGTTGATTTTATCACATCGTTGAGAAAAGTGCTGATGTATCAGCCGTCGTCACGGCAACAAACACTCCGCTGAATTTTAAACATGCTTATCTTTGGTCAGCACAGCCCATTGTAACCAGCAGCGCCCCCTACCGTCTGAAAAAGGGAGTCAATGGTGATCTGTGGGCTTTAGCTGGAGCTAAAGCCAGTAGCTGGAGCTAACAGTATTTTACTGTATTGTTTTTATATCTGAAATAAGTATTTTATTCAGATAAAGTCTGTTGTTACAACTAATCGTGGATCCTTTTAAAGGTTCAGATAAATCAATCGCTAAAATTATTCTCTGTAAGATTCTGGCTCATAAAGAAGGAAAACCTAATATTCAGTGTGAGAAGATTAGAGTATTAGGAAAAGTTAAATATTACATATATGTAAGGTAGGAACAAGTGAAGCGCGTCTTTGAGAAGATTATCAAGTGAAATCCATTCAGACCGAATCAGAACATCTAGACCCACAACACTCAGACGGGCCCAGAACATGGGCTGAGGAGAACCAGAACCAGACTGTTGCTCAGAGGTCCAAAGTCCTTTAAGTTTTTATTTCAAATCAAGGTGGCCCAACAGAGCTTGGCTTTCGTTCTGCCAGAACCTTCAAAGTGTGTGAGAACCCGTCTGACCTCCAGATCGGATCTGAGCTTCGTCTGATGAGTGTGAGGAAGATGTTAGCCTGCTTTCAGCTGTGGGTGGTCATAGTGTTTCAGCTGATTGTCGTAAATGCATCAATGCACACAACTTTGAAAAAATAAATAAATCATCACGTTTAAACTGAATCAAATTCAAAGTCCTGAGATTTGTTGATTTTTTTGTGTGTGTGTTTGAAGGAAAACATTCAGTGTTTCCTCTGCTGCTGCGGTACGAGACACAAGGAAGACTCAACTTCCTGCACAAATGTGGGATAGTTTCTGTTACGACCAGGGGCGCCTCCAGGAATCTTGGGCCCCCTGACAAAAGCTTACATTGGGCCCCCCTGACCAGCTGCTGTTACAATTTCTTGAGTCTATTTGACCCATAAAAAGCGTCACAATTTTAAAGTCTTGCATCTGCCTTGCTTTATTTGGTTCAATTCTGATAACTAGTACAATGTTTACTGCTCATGAATTTAACATCCAACAGTCCACATCCAGTATGCAAGTAGGTTGTTTA